GCCACTGCGGTCGCCATCCTCTATTTCTCTCACGCCAACTCAGCCACAATCCTACTCCTCCCTAGTGGCTGGAGCGGGAGGCAAAGAGCAATGTCCGGAGGAGGCCGTAATGACACAGGGCTCAGTTCAGGGGATTTAGGGGGTCGTCCTCTTCCCCACCCTAGCAAGCACACCAGTCAGTCGAAACGGCCAGGTCTTTCCTAAAGCCGTAGGGGCAGATAGCGAATAGCAGGGTGAGCAAGATAGAACCAAGGGGGGGGGGGCGTCTGAGGCAGCAACAAGCACAGCCAAAGCTTAAGGTCTCAATAAGCTTCCAACGCTTCCTTCTTTAAGAAGCATAATGATAGAGAATTTTGCCCCTTACTACCACCAAGTACCCATAATAGAAAGGGGGGGTGAGAGGTTCACCCTTATCCTTTCAAGACGGGATGGGATACATGTGCAGAACTCCCAAACTTGTTATAAATATGCCTTTTCATTTCCACAATGGCCTTTTTCTGAACCCCTGCTGTAGCTCCCTCTGTTTAAGATCTCTGGAAACCATCCGGGGGGGAGGGGGGAATAACAAAGGAATTTTCTATCATAAAATACAAGTGGCAAACACTAAATAGTGAGTGTGCTAATGGATTATCGAGTTAATGTTGCTTTTAAAAAATAGTTTAAATTCACATGGTGGATGTAAATGTTGATTGACAGCAAAATTCATTTTAAGAGACAATAACAATCCAAAGCTTGCAAGGAAAATATTTAATCATTTGGGTCACATGCATGTGTCCTCATGTCTAGTGAAACAGACTACTTCTATATTTGTGATAGATGATGGTGATAGGCAGTTCCATAAATACTCAGGCCTAAGGCAGGATGTTCCAATTCATCATTCTTATTTTTTTCTTACATTTTTTTATTAAACAATTTGGGGGGGGAGTTAATTACAATTTAATGTTTATCTTCAGCCAATCATCAATCTCTTTATGGATCACTTTTTCCTACTGTTATATTTATCAACATGCCCATAATAATTCCTGATGATGACACATTGTTGCTTAATGACTTTTAGTTTGGATTCATAAAACACAAATGTTCCCATTTTCTATTTTCTAGACTTACACAATACAGTGAACCATAAACTATGCAAATATGTATGTAGTGCATTCATAATTGCATTTACAGCTTAAACAGTTGCTTAACTGTGCAAGTGTTGTGTAAACACATCCTTAAAGTAATTTTTCTTATAGTCAGTTGTATTTTTTGCTCCTAGATCTGATTTTCTTATGCTTCATTTAAAAAGTTGTTAATAAAATCAAGTATAGCCTTATTCTCTAAAGTTGCTTCTGATTTCTATATTAACCAGTTTATACTTGAAGCAAACATTGTAACATCTCAGCAAAACATTACTTTTCAGAAATAAAAATGTTTACATAAAATAAAAATATGAAAGGTTGTCATCCCCTTTTAATATTTTTATATGTGAAATGATTTTAGGATAATAAGGATTTTTGGAGGAAATAATTCTGGAATAAGCCTACATTTAATCCTTTCAGCAATTTCGAATGTAAATGGACAAAATCTTAGTTATATGAGAAGTTAATGATACCCACCAACTATCAGGGTTTTCATAGGATACCTATCCCAGCTTGCTGGTTGAATCATAATGCTACAGCATTTCTGTACAAAATCATTGAAGATTGCTCTATATACATTTCAAATATTATATCTTAGAAAGTTTTCTATTAATTTGATTTCTTCCTTAACCATACATTAATACTCAAGGAGAAATCAGTAAGAAATACATGTTCATTGTCTTCCTCTATGTCCTGTGATCTATTGAACAAATGTAATAATCTTAGCATCATTATCTTTTGAAAAATAGAAAAATTAGAACAATATGAGCTAGAATTGATATCATGTAATATTGACAGTATCTGCCAGTTTTAACATAAGAAAAACAAATTGATCAGAATTATGTTTTTTTTTTTTTTTTGCTTCTTATTTTGCCTCTACCATGGATACTGGGCAATATCTAGCAAGAGAAATAGCTTATCTGAATTCACTTTGCTTGGTTTTCATACAGCAAAGATCCGTCCCCAGACTTTAAATGGGTAAAGACAGTTTCATGGTCACACCAAAAAGCTGGTTTGAATAATAATAATGGCTAAAAAAAGAAAATTATATTATGTACCTTATTCCAAACCACATAATAAAGTACAACACTGTCTCCCAAATCTGGCAGTTTTTAAATTGTCAAAGTTGGGAAACATTGACCCAGAACAACAGTTATTGTACAACTACTGTATTTTTCAGAGTATAAGATGTACTGGAGTATAAGACGCATCAAGGTTTTGAAGAGGCAAATTTTAAAAAGTTTTTGCACTCTGCAGACCTCCCAAAAACAGCCCGTTTTTCACGAAAAACGCCCTCCCCCCCCCAAAAAAAAGGCATGAAAAGGCTTGTAGAGTGCTCCTGGGGGTGGGGATGGGAGCAAAAATGAGCAAAAAAACAGCCTGTTTTTTGCTCATTTCTGCCTTCCCCAGACCCCAGGAGCACTCTGCAAGGTTCCTAAAGGCTCTGCACGGCCATTTTGGTGAAGGGGCGGGGTTGCAGGAGGCAAAAAATGCTGTATTCAGTGTATAATATGCACTCAGATTTTCAGCCTCTTTTTGAGGGAAAAAGGTTTGTCTTATACATCAAAAAATACGGTATGACCTGATCTTATCCTCATTTATAATTTCTTGTCAAGATATGCTAACTTACCATCTTTGATTCTAGTTCTTGTAGATATCAGCTTACTCCCTTGTATGATGACCTCAAAAATATAATTTTAAGAATAAGTAACTAGAAAACTCTGCATTCAACTATAGTCAGTTGCACTAAAAATAAAATTAAAGTATTACATGCCATTTTGCCAGTTAGTACAACGCTTATAGTAAAACTGCTAAAAACAGATTTTAGAGATATAGTATTAAGCTAGTCTGCCCTGTTCATTTACATTTTCTAAACTTTCGTATAGATGCTATTATTGTATTTATCTCTTGTATTGTTGGCTTTGCAATAGAATCCAATATCACCTTGTAATGTTTATTTTTGTGTAAAAAGTAAATGATGTCAAAAAATGACCAATATATTGTCTGAGGATAGCTTTCAGATTATAAGGCACAAACAATTTTGTGCGACAGACTATTAATTTTGAATGCTTCAGTGAATAGCATGCTGCTTCATGGAAAGATCCAATCAAAGGGGATTTATTTCAAGAACTACTGTTTGTCTGATACTTGCTCTTTTTTTTCTTCAGTAATGTTCAATTCAGCCTTTTGCTTTTTTTCTTTCTACAGTAATGTGATACTCGTTTCCATTGGTTTCTTTTTTAAGGAGCTGCTCGTTTTCTTGTAATGAAATTTTTCATCAGACAAAGATTTTGATAATAAAATGAATCAAAGCAGCAATAAAAATGAATAGGAAGCCTGCTTTTGAAATTATATTTGCTACTTCAACAGTAGAAATCATTTTTTTAAACCATGGAGTTTAGCTAGTTAAGACTGAAGTAAAGAGATTTGTAATACTTTAGCATTAACGTATACATAATTCACCTACCGTAGTTTATAGGTTAATGGCAGACAGGTATTTAAGTGTGGACTTGTTCTGCAAGCTAAGTTGCCATTTAATCTGAATTTTACTCTGGCTGAGGCTCTTCCCCTTGTCTCCCAAGCTCTTTTCCACATACTATTACCTCCTGAAAGAGGAACAGCTGTCTGATTTTGACCTCTAGGGAATGCCATCTGGAAGATTCCTAAGAGCCGCTGTCTCTGGGTCTGCATTCTTTCTGTGAAGAACATTACCCTAAACACTAGACAAGCCCCAACACTTCTGGCTTTCTGTAGGCAAATAAGATCTGACTATTTCAATATACTTTTGGGTCTGAGCAGCTGTATTTGATCCTTCTGAAGGATGAATACTTACATACATATGTGTACACACACACACACACACACACACACACATACACACACACACACATACATACATGAGCTGTTCCTCATTGTCAGGTATTACTGGTGTTATTGTAGATTGCTTTGATTATTTTACTATTTGTAGCTCCATAAGCTGATCATAGTTAAAATTGGAGAGACATATAAGCTTAATAAATAACATATAAAGCCCAAGATGCAATTTACTACTTTGGGTTGTTGTTGTTGTTGTGGGAGGTTATCAGTTGACACGCTTGACTATAGTCAAAGGCCATTTTTATTTTTCAAGAATCAATATATACTTATGGACATGTTATACTTTTATACACCAGATTCCCTAACCAGCCAGTATCTTCTCGTTCCACTACTATTGTCCACAAATGAATTGCGGATCTATGTAGGATTTATTTCTGAAATTTATGTTCCCAAATCTTGGGGTTTTCCTGTTGTGGTAGTTTCTTTGTTTAAATTACATGCTTTAAATATGAATTTGGAACACCAAGTGGGACATTAATAGACCTAGAAATAAAATAATTTTCATTCCAATCTGATCCTATAAGAATCATCTAAGGCAGTTTTTTAACTACATTGAATTCTCAAACTGAAAAATACAAATTGTATATACAACCTAAGGAGAAAATGAGTCAGTTTATTTTAATCATTTTTAGCATTTTTTTCCAGGCTTTAAAATGGTCAAAGAATGTGTTTCTGAAATGCAATGGTCCACAATTCATAGATCCTCTGAAATATTGGATAAAAGTATAAAATGACAGGTTTTCAAAAAGAAAACTTTACCTAGATATTAAATAAAATGAACATATATAAAACTATGTAGGATAAGATTTTCAATGAGAAACAACTGGTGATAGCAGAATGAAGAAACATGCAGTCAAGCAGAATTCTGCAAGCTTGTTTAAAAGTTCTTGTACTAGTTTATTTATTCATGATGTTTTTTCTATCTTAAAGGCTTTACTCTCCATTCAAGAATTGCTTAAAACATAAGAATGCTGTCATCTCCCAAACCAGTATTACATTTTATTGCTATTAATATTAAAATACTATTTTAATTCATTAAATGGCATCAAGGACAGCTCACTATTGAATTTCTTTTGCAAAATGAAAGCTCACAAAATGAAGTTTTCAGCATTTCAATATCAGACATCTAACAAGACTTCCATTGGAATGTTTGCCATATTCTTAAGCAGACAACCTTTAAAATCATTTTGTAGCTCATTAGTTTATAAATAAATGCATATTTATATTCTATAACTAATAACAACACACTTAAACTGTTTTAAAGTGTGCTATTATTCATCACAGTATTTAAATATAATTTAAGTCTATTGGAAGAAATATACTAAACAAAAGCTGTACTTCAATTAAACCAGTGCTTCCCAAATGAAGCTAAATTACTGAAAATTGCGGTAAAATGTTTTCTCTTTGAGTAACAACACAAAAACCTCTTACCCAATCACATAGGAACATTAACATCAACTTAAAGTGTTTTACCTACATTGAATATAAAAGACTTTCCGAGAAGGAGTTTTGAGTAATGAAGGAAAACATCTTGGGAAGCACTAACATAGACTGACAGAAGTTATATCCATACAGGTATGAAAGAATGTTCATACAGAGTTGACAAAAAATCAGAAATAATAAATTTCTTGATCAAATATAGATATTAGTGGGATGATAACTGCAAGTACTAGTCAAGCTAATTGAGGCTCAGTTTTAAATTCAGAATTAAATTTGTCAGTACACTATTTGTTTGTTCATTTTATAGGCCACCCAATTTGCAATCAGTTTGGGTGGCTTACACCTCTTTTTAAAAATTATAAAATGCATGCACACATACAAAAAGAATCATTAATAGCTCTAAAAACAACATAAAACCAAAGAAAGTCCATCTAGCTTATTGTCTAGCAATTTTGGGCCTTAGTATAAAACCAAAAGTGGAAAATAATTATCTAATATAGGTTAGATAGGTACCTAATCACTAAGCAATTAACTGTTAATTAAAAGTAGTCGTCCCTTAATAACACAAATAGTTGGCACCAGAAACTCTGTTGTTAAGCAAAACATTATGTGACTGTTCTACTTAACAACGCACCTATACCTGACCCATCACAAGACCCACTAACCACACAAAGCCCTTATAAACAGAAGAACACTGAGATCCCATAAATTCAGAGAATGCACTTTCTCCCTCAATTAGACATTTGGGAATTACAAAACATGTATTAGATGATTGAATTTACCTGTATATAAAATGTCAGTATTTTTTGAGATGAATTGACATAAGACAAAGAGAAACCTTATTTTTCAGTTAGTTTAAAGGCATGCGTTATAGCCTGATACCTTTATAAATACAGTTGGCTTAAATAATTTTAGATGCAGTACACACTACTATAAAAGGGTACAGAACAATATATAAGTCTAAATGTATTTTGCTGAAATAACAATATTATCTCTGCTTTCAAAAGCATTGATTTCCATCATAGTAAAAAAAATGAATTGTACATATTCTTTCTCCTGTTTCACAGGTCTGGATGTGTGGAGGTCGCATGGAAGATATACCTTGTTCTCGAGTTGGCCACATTTATAGAAAATATGTCCCTTATAAGGTTCCAACAGGAGTCAGTTTAGCTAGGGTAAGAAGCTATCTTGTGCTATTCTTACATCTTCACAATGGAGCATTTAAAAAAAAACACCCACTTGATCTGTGGTAAAAATTGTTATTGTTAACACAGGAAACCTGTTCTTATGCCTTTTATTTTAAAAATTCATATCCCTATAAGCAGAAGATAGGTAAGTTAAGGAAAATGCATTAGTAAGAGGTTTGAAGATCTAAAGCTACTGTTAAATGCATGCAAAATTCATATCATTATTAAGTGTTCACATGCATAACTAAAATGAAGAACTTACCAGTTTTTAGAATATTTGAAAATATGATCCAATGAGAAATTGTCACTACCTAACTATAAATTCAAGATTTCCTTTTCAATTTGTAAATATTTATTTTAAAAGATATTTTACTTCCTGTTCAAAATTAACATATCTTAAAATGTGGTTAGAGGCTCCCTCTTGTGGGAAAAGAAGTAATGGGAATATTCCTTTAATAACTTTAAAAAAATATTATACATTCTCTTATTTGACTCCCTATATTAAAAGCCTAGCTTTAAAATATTTTATCTGTTGAAGAGTTAAGTATTAAATTTTAATCAATTTTAGTGGATTTACTCAGTCTTATAATTTCATTATGAAATAGTGTATCTTGAATTCTACAAAATGAAGTTGCCTTTGAGTCAAGCTGGCAATGTATACATCAGTCAAATACTGTGGTGAGCTCAGTGTCTATCTAAAATATATTGTTTAACCTTTTAACATAGTCAGTCTTCTGTATGTGCCAATAGTAAAGAAATATTGAGAAGAGTTGCTTATCACTAGTTGTTCTGATCCTGTCCGTTACCATTAGCCATTTTTTATTTTCCTTTCCTATTTATCAAGATAATTTTTTATTTTTATTTTCATTTTAAAATATTGGAATCTTGTAGAACCTGAAACGGGTGGCTGAAGTGTGGATGGACGAATATGCAGAATACATTTATCAAAGGAGACCCGAATATCGACATCTGTCTGCGGGGGATGTGACTGCTCAGAAAGAACTTCGAATTAAACTTAACTGTAAAAATTTCAAGTGGTTTATGCATGAAGTTGCTTGGGACTTGGGAAAGTTTTACCCACCTGTAGAACCTCCAGCAGCTGCCTGGGGAGAGGTTAGTTTATTCAAGTCACTCAGCCCATTTATCTATGCTTTAGCATACAGCTGCAAATACTGTAATAACCACAGAATTTCTGGTTCCTCTGATTCCATTCCCCAAGGCTGGTCAACATGTTTTAATGCATGTGTTTTTAATTTCAGTGTTATAGAATTACCTATAGGAATTGAACAGCACATGTATTTATATCAACAGGAATTTGCTATATTAGTTTCTATGATGATTAGATATTAGAACACCCACAGAATGGTAATACAGGTTCCTCTTCTCTCTCTTTAAATTATACAGGGAGGAGGAACTGAAATAGCAATAGCAATAGCAGTAGACTTATATACCGCTTCATAGGCCTTTCAGGCCTCTCTAAGCGGTTTACAGAGAGTCAGCATATTGCCCCCAACAATCTGGGTCCTCATTTTACCCACCTCGGAAGGATGGAAGGCTGAGTCAACCCTGAGCCGGTGAGATTTGAACCGCTGACCTGCTGATCTAGCAGTAGCCTGCAGTGCTGCATTTAACCACTGCGCCACCTTGGCTCTTTTTGAAAGATTTTGAAGGTTTAGTTAGGAGTGAATTGATAGAAGGTAACCTCAGTTGTAATCTTAAGGAGAGCTATCAAAACTTATATGTCATCCCCAAGAGTTATTTTGAAATAAAGCAATAGCAATAGCACTTAGACTTATATCCGCTTCATAGTTCTTTACAGCACTCTTTCTAAGTGGTTTACAGAGTCAGTGTATTGCCTCCGATAATCTGGGTCCTCATTTTACCAGAAGGATGAAGGCTGAGTCAACCTTAGTTGATCAGAATCCAACTTCTGGGAGAAAGCAGTCAGCCTGCAATACTGCATTCTAACCACTGCGCAACTATGGCTCAAAAATAAATGATTGTGATATTTCTTGATTCATGTCAGTTTAACAAAAGTAGTCAATCACTCAGTTCAGTCGTAAATATATTCCATCCTGTTTCTTGCAATTTTTAAGGTTGTATAATTTACAGCCTTAAAACCTGAACTTATTGCAGTTTTCTTGGCATACATATTTTGGGATGCATTTTTAAACTAAGAATTGCGTCACAAAATTCATCCAGTGAAGCTGCTGCTTATTAAATGGCCCTCATCTCTGATTTTGTTTCTCAGATCCGTAATGTAGGGACCAGTCTTTGTGTAGATACAAAGCATGGGGCTCTAGGTTCACCACTAAGAGTTGAAACCTGTGTGAAAGGTAGAGGAGAAGCTGCTTGGAGCAATGTGCAGGTAATTGCATTTTTTTTAAATGAACTTATTTATGTATTTACTTATTTTACTAAATTTGATACCTGAATACAATTTGGCAATTTATAAAATCATCCTGTAAGTTAAAACATCTAATACACAATATAATCAAATATAAAAATAAAAAAATACAATCAATAAGTAAGTGGCAGTAATCACAACTCAAATGTCCTTCTAAAGAATTTGTCAGAAAGCTATCATTTAATGCAAATGTTGAAATAATATAACAGCTTCTTTAATGGAACAGTTTTGTGATATTTTATATAGTGTAATAACAAATCAGTTTAAATTCCTTATATTATTACCTATTTTATCAGACTAGTTCTACCCCTTTTAAGCATGAAAGCCAACTGGGTGACTTTGGGCTAGTTACTCTGTCGGCTCAATCCACTTTGCAGGGTTGTTGTCAGGAAAATTGGAGGAAGAAGTATCAAGTAAGTTTGCCACCTTAAGTTATAAAGTAATAAAAGCAGAATTTAAAAAATCAATCAAATCAAATATAATACTGGGAGGTAAATACAGTATTATGTTCACATAGTATGGATATATAAATATAATATACATAGAGCAGTCGGAAGAGGGTTAAAAATTACTTGGAAAATATATGCTATCACATTATGGCAATATTACTATTTAGAACAATACTTCCTCAATTCCTGCTCCCTAAATTGTCTTTTAAAACTGAGATTTGTGGATGATATTTTTATTATAGAGTTATGGACAAGAAACTATATCAAAACTCCTATCAGATGTCTGTTATTTTCACCTCACTTTCACTCCACGTCTTTATCAGTTCATGCAGTAAATGCCCCTAGAGACCAATAAAGCACTTATATTACCTTCCTTGTAGCATTTACCATTTGAAATTGGCAAATCTTTGCGAAATGTAGATGAACACAATTCAGAAATCTTTCAAAAATCACTGAGTAAGTATTTCACCAATGAAGGCTTTGTAGAATATTCTTTCATGGATCATGGATTCTTGAAAAATGAATTACAATGACTGATTCTGTCACAAAATGCAACATCATTTATCACAGACCAATGCGTGCTAATAGGCCAATTTAAAAGTGTTTTTGTGTTGGCACATACGCCAAAGCATTTTTTTAAAATTGAATGAAAATGCTGCATATCATCAAAACAGTGGAAAATAATTGTTGTTAATGATAATCATAATTACAGAACTCTTCTTACCATTGCTGAAATAGATCATCTTAGTGGCCATGACCCAATCCACAGGACTGTCTATGACTGTCAAGAGGCAGAAGACATAAATATATCAACTAGATTGGGTTCTTGATTTAAGGCATCTACGGCATCAATTCTTGCATAATTCCAATATCTATTATATTGAAAGACTCCTAGCAGCATACAAAACCTTAATATGCTTATCTTTGACCACATAATGGCAGCCTTTTATTCTGATACATAATTTATTGCCCCAAAATAAATTATTAAAAATTAAGTAACTATCTGAAGACAAATATGGTTTTTTTCCTCATTTATTTCTGATAGCATATGTTTATTAAACAGGTATTCACATTCAGCTGGCGAGAGGATATCCGTCCAGGAGACCCTCAACATGCAAAGAAATATTGCTTTGATGCTATTTCCCACAATAGCCCAGTCACCCTTTATGACTGTCATGGAATGAAAGGAAATCAGCTATGGAAATATCGAAAAGTAAGTAGATATAGTTGAATCAAATGGTGTGATCATCTTGTAACATTTTGAATTATGCTTTATTTATTTTTTTAGATAATAGAAAAAAAGGAGCTATTAATAATATGTTGTTCAGAAGAAGATATTCAAGAAGCAAATACCTTCATAATTTCAAAAAATTAACAAAATTCCTCTTTTGCAAAACATGTTTGCAAATAAAGTCTGTTGGATAATATATTGACTTTTGATATGAAAAAAGTTATTTATGCAAAACTTGTATAAAAAGCTTATTTAAACAATAAAACAATACATGCAGTGAGACTAATTTTAACTTTCGTCTTCAGGACAAGACACTTTATCACCCAGTAAGTGGCAGCTGCATGGACTGTAATGAAAGTGATCGAAAAATCTTCATGAACATGTGCAATCCTTCATCTCCAACACAACAATGGATATTTGAACATACAAATTCAACAGTCTTGGAAACCTTTAATAAGAATCTTGATCTTTAAAGACATTATTTATATGTAAATATTACAGTCATACTTTTTACAGGGGATATGACAATTTTTAAAAAAATAATTTTTTAAAAAATGAAAAAGGGAGAATCTCAGGAGAGAGTGACTATCAGGCCAGTCTTTACTTTGATGATGCTGCATCTATGTGTCTGGATAATTCATCCCCATTAGTAAGAAGTCTAGAAATCTGCATTATTATAATTATAGATTTGGAAACAGTAACAACCTGTGAAGTATATAGAGGGACACAGCTAGAATTCAAAAATGAATCATGTGAAAATGTCTTTTATTCAAGTTTTAATTATGCAATTTCTTTCATTTTATTTCCTTTTCCAGTTCTTAGTTAAGAAGCTGCAAGAATGAAACATCATTGAAAATTTCTAAATAACTGACATAACTAAATATCAGGAAACATGTAGATTACAGTAAAATGTCAATTAAGACAAGAATAACACTAGTATTCGTGTTATTCTTGCATGCCATAATTTATAGTACTAGTATCAGTAAATACTGTAGATCAGAGGTCCCCAACTCCCAATTCATGGACCATTACTGGTCTGCAGCATGCCAGAAACTGTGCCGCGCAAACAAGCGAAGCCCCATCCATGGGATGCAGGCACCATGGAAAACTAGCCCCATCCAGTCCGCAGAAAACCTATTCCATGGAACCAGTCCTTGGTGCCCAAAAGGTTGTGGGCCGCTGGTGTACATGGCCAGTTGCCATTTTAACTTGTTTGATTTTTCATGATGGGCCTAATTAAATAATATATAATGATCAGTATATGTTCACACAATGTTCACAGATATGAATGCCAGATATCTGTGATAACAGGTAGGCATTGGACAAATCATATGTGGCAGGTTTAAAAATAAAGTCAGATTGTAAGTATTAATTTCATAAAGCAGTGATGGCGAACCTTTTTTGGCTCACGTGCCATAAGGGGGGAGCGCAGGGGGGGGTCATGCGTGGGTGTGCCCATAATGCAATGCACAACACCCCCAGTGCGCATACGTGCATGAGGGGTGCTCCCCCCTATTTTTTTCATGCTTTTTTTGACACACACACCCCCAGGCTCCAGAGGCTTTATAGGAGCCTGGGGAGGGCGAAAACAGGCTTCAGGGACCTTCAGGAGGCTTCCCTGAAGCCTCCAAAGGGCAAACAATGATCCTACGAGCAAACCGGAAGTCATTTCCAGTTTGCTCGTATGGTCGGTTTAAGCCCTCCAGAGGCTTCAGGGACCTTCAGGAGGCTTTCCTGAAGCCTCCAGAGGACTAAAAAGGACCCTACGAGCAAACAGGGACTTCCTGTTTCCTCTTAGAGCTGTTTTTAGTCCTCGGAGGCTTCAAGGAAGCCTGCTGAAGGTCCCTGAAGCCTCCAGAGGGCTTAAACCAACCCTACGAACAAACCGAAAGTCCGTTCCCGAACTTTTGGTTTGCCCTAGGGCCAGTTTTTTGTGCTCCAGAGGCTTCAGAAGCCTCCGGAGAGCCTCTGGGGAAAGGGGGAAGCTCTTTTTGCCCTCCCCAGGCTCCTATAAAGCCTCTGGAGCCTGCGGCGGGCGAATAATGGCTTTTAAAAAGGCTGAACTCAGCTGGCCAACGCGCACATGTGTACTGGCCAGCTGACAGGGCAACGCCTTGTGTGCCCTGACAAATGGCTCCTCATGCCACCTGTGGCACGTGTGCCATAGGTTCACCATCCCAGTCCTAAAGTATATTCCTAATCAGGTTATAATGAGAGCCTTTACATCTAATATGGCAATACTGTCAATCCATTGGAAACTGGACGGAAATTAAATCTTAAGAGGGACAGTGAAAATTTTTGATTTCTCTGCAGCAATAATATATTTGCCATTTTTTGCCAAATAAACTGACAAATTAATATTTCTTGATTTCTAATAGTAATGATTCTTTTAGAATTCTTGAAAGTTTTGTTATAGTAATAGTTGACTAGTTGAGAAATGAACATTTATTTTACTATGTTTGTAAATAATTAGTCCACATTCATGTTTATTTATAATCATAAAAAACATGTTCTATAAACTTTCCAGACTGCGTGTATGTCAATACTCCCTCTGGAAATTTATCAACTAGTTACGTTAAAAATAAAAATTTAGCTTCCTAAATTTACTAGAAAGATTAATAGTCACACTACTTGACCTCAAGTAGCAAGCATACTTTACATGAGGATCAATCTATCGGTGCTAAATCTACAGTGGGTATTGTGACCGTATATTTATTCATTTATTAGACTTAAATCCTGATAAAAACTTTCCAGGAAGTTAAACAATTTACACAAATATTACATTTGAAATGAAAACATAATTAAAGCTGTATGATGAAAATAATTGTATATATGCCTAATTGCCTAATTTAGCAGTCAAAATATACTTAAAGGTCAGCCTAAGTAACAGTATTTTTACCCAGTGATTAAAAGGATGACTTTTTGGGAAAGGCAACTCCAAGCTCTGATAACAGACATCAACAGGGCCTTTTCTTGAATTCACATGAAACATATCTCTCATGGTGGTGGAGTGAAAGAAAATATTTATCTAAAATATTTATCTAAAAGCCAAGGAAGATTCAGAAAGAACAGTCCTTCAGAGAACCTCATTCCAAGTTGTGTAGGACTTTATAGATCATCACACAAGCACACACCACTTTTAAGCCTGGAGACAGCTTGCAAAATGATAAAATTGTTACAATGTTGCTTTTATATGCTGTTCCATAAGGCATTCTAAATTATTGTAAATAGGTGGTTCCTCACTTAGTTGCAGTGATTCAGTATAGTTTTAACTCACCATTTTGACTGTTTACCTTTTATGAAGTGAACTATCGTGGCCAGTTGTGATACTACGTGAACTTTTGGAAGCCAACTATAGATCTTCATTGCAGGGAACTGTTTGTTTTAGAAAACTTTTGCATACACTTGCCCCCTTAGAGTATCAGTAAAATTGAACATAACAGCATCATTAAAATAAAGAAGTGCCTTTTAAAATGCAAATGTACAACAAAAGCTTAAACTTGAACAATTTCCTAGTGCCTTGCTGGACAAGAGTAAAATAGGTATGAAATGTACAAGACTTATGTACTATATGTTGTTAGTGATATTTTGAGGGTATGATTTTATTTTAAGTTCATATTGCAAGATGGAAGGACGATGGATAATTTAGAAAACCTGAGAATCCCTGGGTTCTGACATTTCACTTCACTTACAAGTGCAGGTATTGGGAGGTATTAATCTCCACAAGACATCCTAACTATTAGTCCTAGATGGTGGCACACAAATATGAAAGTGTTAACCCCAATTTCTGCAGTGAATTTCCAAGCCTATCAAAATATAACTAATTATATGTGATATTAGGCATCCTTCCCAATACCTAGTTGCCTCGAAACATGAGATGGGTGGCATATAAATTTAATTACTAATAGGGCTACGGTAAAAAAAAACTGTTTACATTTTCATATATGCTTGAATACTTTTTCACAGTGGTATTTGTTTTAGTCATCTTCAGGATCTGATAGCTTCCATACCAGAAATAGTGAATAGTACAACAAAATCTGTTAAGTGGTTGCCATTTATTGATATTGTCAGGCCATTTTCTGATCATATTGCTCTAGATAAAAATAATGACGAAGTCAACTACCATAGTGCTTGTAGTATTTGAGTTATGATCATTCATTTAATTGATGGTTCAGAGTTATAACAGCCTCAAAAAAGTGACTTTCAACCTGTCCTCAAAATTATGATGCACCAGTTTCCGTGATCACGTGATTGAAACTGAATGATTGCCAATCACATTTACAACAGTTGCATGATCTTGTGATCACATGACTGTGATTTGCAACCTTCCCAGCTGCTTCAACAAGGAAAGTCACTAGGGGAAACTGGATTTGCTGAACAACTGTGATTCTCTTTGGTGACCATGTGATTCACTTGACAACTGTGGTAATTTGCTTAACTCTTATAAAAATGGCTGGAAAATCTGGTTCAGTCATGTGATGATTTGCTTAACAACCATATTGTTTGGCAACCAAAATTCCAGTCCCAACTGCCATAAGTCAAAGGCTATCTGTAGAAGATTTGTAAGCCATATATTTTTTTAAATCATGAAAACAGTAAATTCATTGATTTACGTTTCTATTTTGATCTTCATTTTTCTTATAGATCTGCAATATAAAAATATTCACATGGGGGGAATGTTTTATAGAACTATTCACAGAGTGCTGACGATATAAAATTGCTAGTTTGACATAATTTAAACTAGCATAAAGAGAGTAATTTCTCTTTAATATGTAACAAAATCAAAATTTCTGGCTGAAGAGCTGCACAAGGTTTCTGTGTCTTGGATTATTTTTAGTGCAGTCTGATATTATGCCTCCCATTATTACTGCATATAAAATTATGCCACTAATTGTTTAGAAATCTAGGCATCCTATTTCTAAATGTCCTTAACATGATCAAAGTACATAGACTTTTCCAGAAATTGTATTATCTTATTGTATTAACAATCACAGTGAACTAGATTTTAAATAAATATTGCTGAAGATTTTTAAATATTTCAAATTCATAACTGATCTTAAAAGAACCAAGCAAGTCTTCCCCAAATAAGGGATTTATTTTACCTTCCTATAGTGACTTCCTACAGGTGCTTTTCTCCCAGCTAGGTTTTAATCTTAGCTGGGCTCCAAAATAGGAAGTGGAGCCTCCAAGGAAATATATTACAGACAGTATAAAAGATAAGTTGGTGTTTTTTTTTAACAAAATGCCTCTTTTGTTCTTAAATTAAAACAGTACATAAATGCTTTAAATTAAGAGATACTGTTGTAGTTGTGTTTGAATAGTTAAAACAAGTTTTACAAACTTTATCATCCTTAAATGTCATTTTAGATCAAGATAACCATTTTTAAAAATAGCCCAATTTGAAGTCTACTTACAATAGTATTTTTGAACTACATTCTGTTCTAAGCTCTCCAATAGATTTATCACCAATTAGAGATACCTTCACATTCTAGTAGGTAAAAGGGGTTTTAATTTGAATGAATTTAAAAGCGTACAAACATATATTGGTATGTGGTAGGTAGATTTTTTTTATCATGAAGAAAATTATATGCACTAAGTTCACAACACTGCATTATAGGTAACCAAAGTAAGTATAACATTAGCTCTTCCAACAATGCTATTAAGCAGCTAAAGATTTAAGGGGAAAGAAGCAGGAAAATGCAGCTCATATGTAGAAAGTCTTCAGGGATTCTTAAACAGTTTCCCTCTTTATAATGCATGCTTAACAGTTTCTTTTAAATTGGATGTTGCCACAAATTGTGTATTTATTTTGTGCATCTTGGGACAATGTCTTAAGTGGGAGAGATCAAGGATGTCTAGCACTTTAATGTAGTATTGCTGATTAACTGGAAATCATTTGGATGTCAAGTTTAGTATTTTTACGAATTGAATGGTCTTTCTTTTATAATATATTTAAAATAAATTTTTATTGTGTCCTTTTTCTGAAAACTTGTATAAGTATTCTGTTTGTAACAGCCAAAGCATTTGTAAAGAGAGGAGAGACCGATTACATGAAATAATACAAGTAATCCTTGCTTAACTACCACTCCTTCAGCGACTCTTTGAATTTGCAATTGTGGTAACTACAACCTTACAACTCTCCGATGGTCATGTGATTGCAATTCAAGCACTTGGCAAGTGGCTCAAACTTATTATTGCAGCATCCCTTTGTAACATGATTGCAATTTCCAACTTCTCTGCCATTTCCTGCAAGCAAAGTCAATGAGGAAGCCAGCAGAAAGTCAGAAATAATAACAACATGAGATCCTCACTTAACAATCTGCAGTGATTTACACAACAATGGCAATTGGGGAACTGCCTGGGTTGCTGTTGCTTATTAATGTGGTCATATGACATTGCGCTT